TGGGTCTCCTGCTCTCGTGGTGCCCATTTCTGACCAGTTGGCGGCCATCGCTCAGCAAAACGAGCGCATTCTGGCCGGCCAGGAGAGCATTCACATCCGACCAACACTACATCATGTCGTACCTGGGCCTGGACCCGAACGCAGTCCACTACGCCTTCGTGCAGTCTCCAGGGTATGAGGACGAGTACCCTCCACCCACCGATGATGGTGGTGATGCGTTCTAGTGGTGAGTGGCTGGTTCTGCACTTCATTTGTTTTCCAGACTAAGACTCCATGTTTTTGTTGTTTCGTTTTTTTTTTTATTCTGATCTCATTTCTCGATAACATCGTTCCCCTTCCCTCTGCTCCATTGAGGACACTGTCGCATTTCAGTGTGTGTGTGGGGGGGGGGGGGGGGGTTCTTTGTATTAATTGGAACGTATATATGTGTGCTTGGAGCCTAGTCCGCTGTCCAAATCTCTAGATTTGAGGGCTCCAAGTACTGTTGTTTGCTTGATATTTGATCGTATTGAAACTGTGGATGTGATTGGTGAATTGAATGGCTTTTGACTTAATGCATGACAACTTGAGTGTGACTAAGACAGCTTATTATGATGACTGAGATGTGCAGTAGAACTGTGTAGGGGTTCAGTTTTTCAACTGTTTGCTTACCAACTGTGACTTGGATAGATCACTTGCTCTTGACAGTCATTTATGCATCTAGTTCAGGGAATCAGAATGAGAGATATAGCATATAGGTAGCCATATGAGACTTGAGCCTACTCGTTTCTTTCTTGTGTGATAGTTCCCTCTTCCATGATGTGCAGCATTCACGTTGTCATTAGCTAAGATGATGGAGGCATAGGATTAGCCCACGACCAAATTGACTGTCCTGATGTGTCATACCCCCTAGTCACCCCTTTGAGCCGTGTGTTATCCTTTCTTTCGGTCTAAATGGAAAATCACCCCTTTGCATCTTTTAGAAGGTTCCACAGAGTGGTTTCGCCATGTTCTCTGCTGTTTCTGCTTAATATAATGTGAGAGTTGGAGGTAGTTCTGGAAAAAATGAAAAGGGCATGTGTTTGCAAAAATGTGCATAGGTGGTGGTTCTCTCAAGAAATGAAAAAAAAAAGAGAAGTGAATGAAAGCAAAAGAGAGCCACCACCACAAAATCTGAATAGTGCCCATTGAGTAGTGTTTCTTAGCAGTGTGGCTTGGAAATACTACGTTTTTTTGTGACCTCCTTTGCTCTTGCGCTTTAAAGAAAGTGAGTAATGCAGAATGGCAAAAAGAAAGAGTGGTTTGATTGACTGTGAGTGTGTTGGGTTTGGAATTGTGGAACCTTGTGCTATGAATACTTCCACCACCTAAAAGGCCTTTTCCCCATGTCCAAGACCCTAGCCATTCATCTGAACCTGTGTCTAAGACCTCCGGATTAGTTAGTGGTGACATCCCATATGTGAACTTTAGCATTTAGAGGCTGCCTTCATGGTGAAGAGACGTTAGGGATTGAGAGAATAAGCATGCACATTTTTCGCATCAAATTGTCCTGACCCCACTTGTCGAGAGTGAGCGATTCATTTTCTCATATTCTCTATACTCTTTATCCCGGTGAGGACCTAGATTGCTCGGTCTTAATTCTGATATCTTGAGCTTTGTGCATGAAGTGACTGTTTTGAATAAGTGGTTGAGTCAAGTCTATGTTGGTTGGTGAACACAAGGGAGACTCTTCCTTTGCTCGACTTTACTGCATTCGAATGTCATCTGTGGTGGTTGTCTAGGTTGTCCTTGGAGTTGTCCATGTGTTAATGATCAAAAGCCAGTATGATCGACGTGTTTTGTGTCGATATGATACGCCCAAGAGCCTGCTTGATTGAAACGTTTTGAGCTTACCTTGTGTCTGACTTGGTTTGCTTGGGGACAAGCAAACGGTTAAGTGTGGGGGAATTTGATAACGATGTAATTGCACCTGTTTGCACCCCTAGTTCTTATCCGTTTGTGGGGCGTAGTCGTGTATTTTTGGCCTATTTTACACCGGATTGTGCTACTTTGTCATATTTCAGGTCCCAGACGTCAAAGGAAAGGCTAAGCACGAGTTTCGGGGCATTCGGAAGTCGTTCGGTCGAGCTGGAGCAAGGCACGAGCGCGCCTAAATCAGAGCACGGCCGTGTTCCTGGACAGTGTTTTTACTGCCGAGGCTTGATCCAAGATTGTCCTGCGCTGGCCCAAAACACGGGCGGGACTGACTCAAAACACGGCCGTGTCCAACATTAGGCACGACCGTGTTTTCCCAAAGGTGTGGCCGTGTTTTTAACACGTGGCAAGGGCACGGGAGGGCAGCAGCAAAGCACGGCCATGCCCTCGACAGATTTTTGCCCAGGGTTGCCCTTTTAGGCAGATTTGAGCCAAAAGAGAAGGCATTCCGAGTTTTAGAGAGACAGAGCGATTCCTAGAGAGAGAAAGCAACGAACCAGAGTTCCCAAGTGCCCTAGCTTGACCTTCATCACCATTGGAGCCCGGCTTGAGCTTGGAGAAGTGTCGATTGACGACTAGGAGCAGAAACCCATCCTTCACAGTTGTTTTCCGCATCTGAATATGCTTTTGCTTCTCTCTCCATAGAGTAGTTTTCCCATTCATCTGGGTATGGAGAACCCTAGATTTGTATGTTAGGTCTTATTGTATGAACCCAAGTACAGATTTTATGATTTGATTATATTCAATTGAGGCTTGAATGATTGAATGACTTGAATCCTGATCAAATTCCTGTTATTTCTGCTTTAGCCTAGAAAGAGAATATCTGCCTAGGTTAATAGAGCACCCTTAATTGAAGGTAGTGAATTGGCGACTTTAGTCGATGAGCCAATTCACTATTCTGTACCGAATTTACTTCGGTAGTGGAGGTTTAGTTCGTTAGGGCCTCAATCTGTTTACTCCGGTGGAGGTTAGTCCCCCGCTGGGGACTCAGATTGAGAGGGTCTGGAGACCTTTAGTCGAGACTTCAGACTGCTTAAGAACCTCCCGCAGTATAACTATCATTAAAACTGAACTTGGTAAATTGCAATCCGGCTTAACTACAGTCTAGGGGGAACCATATCCGGGTGACCTCTCTCAACTTGAAACAACCTTCTTGCTTGCTTTACTTGTTTGCTTGTTTGAACCTTCACTAAAGTGTCACCGCTGAATAATAAGAATTCGCTGAGTTGTCATCACATCCAGGACCCGGGTTGACATTAAAACCCAAACCCGCTATACTACGATTTAGAAAGTGGTTACACTTGGCCATTTTCTAGAGTGACAGTAGGAGTGAGTGTTGATACCATCTTATACTTTAGTTTTATCTTATGGCTAACTAAGCATGTATTTTTTTAACGATGTGAATTTAATGATGCTTTGCCATCTTTATCATATGAATGAATCATTAGATACCTCTTTCATTAGATGCTGATATATCATCTTATACTTTAATTATCTAATGCTTTAATCATCTGGTGCTTTTATCTTATATTATATGTTACTATGGTTGTTGCTTATCATATCATTATATATTGCATGAGAAACCCAACTTATGTGATATCCATCTATTATAAGCATGCAGGAAGGGAAGTGCATAGCCCTTCATACATGAATGAGATATATGCTTGATACCCTAGATCATCAACACCATCGACCAATGTTGTGGCTCATAGAGGCCGTAAATATCAATGAACTATCCTTATTTCCTTAATTAATTGATAGTCTAGTGGCATGAAGTGAAAGAACGCATTAGTTAATCATAGTTACAGTTGCATTTGATGAAAAATCGAAAATGGTTGCTTAAGTGGAAGGAATAAGGTGTCACAATAGTCGATGCATAAGAGCATCTCATTGATGAGATTATATGCCTAATCATCTAGATGACACTAACTAGACAGTAACTTTTATTACTTATTTCTTGTTGGTTTTGCTTCAATACTCAACCCATCGTCTTTAATTTTCTGTATTCGTATCTTTTAAATACATACTCTAGTTTCAAAGTAGTTTCCATCAAAAGCTCCATGGAATACGACTCTAGACATACCTATGATTGTCATTACTCGATTAAATCAAAATACACTTTTCACATCAAACATCCCATTCTCTTCATAGTTCTTAATTTGAGATGTTCAACAAGCTGGATGTTGTTGGACATGAGTCATTCAGTCAGACGACTAGGTGCATCCTCGCATTAAATGCAGAAGCAGAGTCAAGAAAAAGACTTCTAGTTAGGCATCCAGTATATCACTAAACACCTAACCTAACTGAGGGATAATTGTTAGACTCGTAAGTATGGCATGTCCCGACCCAAATTGCAACTATGATCCACGAGCACGTATTGATCCAACTCCATGAAATACCTACAAGGCCCAACCGAAGTCAAATTAAGTTTCACAAGCATTTCCCCTATGAAGATGTAGAAAAACAACCAAAATTAGGGGACTCTCTCTTTTCCTAATTGGTGACGTACGCTTTATCTCTCTAAACTCTCCCTAGCTATACTCTATTTTCCATATTGTGTACTAATTGTCCAAGTGTAGATGACGAGGGACATCCCATCCCTTTCTCAGATTTTTCGTTCCCATGCAGCCCTAATCGACGCACTGTTGTTTCAAGGGGAAAACATTTCTTATATTCTTTTCCCCCCTTTTTTACAGCCCCATGTTAATAAAGTTCCGGTCCACTAAAAGAAACTTCACTTTCTGCGACGAAGAAATTCGTCGCAGAAAAGCATAAAATTCGTCGCGTAAACCTTGCGCGACGAATTCTTCCGTCGCAAAAAGGAAAACCACTTCGTCGCCCATACAGCGTCGCAGAAAGTTCTGCGACGAAAAAATGGATTCGTCGTAAAAAAACCCCCAAAGTCGTCGCTGAAAGTGAACGATTAGCGACGAAAACTTAGTCGCAGAAAGGCTAACATGCGACGGATCAATCGTCGCAAAAGGTTACAAAAGATTGGCAACAAGGACGTTTTTTAGAGTTATTCAGGATTTATTTTGGGTTAATTTCAGTATAGGTCCAATTTATTTTCGGGTTAATTTCAGTATTGTTCATAATTTTTTTTGGGTTTGTTTTCTGGTTCCTTATTTCGTAAAACATCAAAGATGCACCTAATCAAAGCCAAAATTTCGAATTTGCTCAAAATAACTACACTATCCATTCCTCATCCAAAATCCAGATTTGCAAGTCAGAATACCAAACCTAAAAAAATAGAAACAAAGTTAGATTTGTATAAACAATAACAAACTAAGGATAATTTTTGGTAAAACAAGATTGGAGAAAGAACAAATATAGTATCATTCTTTCATTTTTCTCGTCGGAAGAGTAAACCATCTTCGTCATCCCCCGGTTGTAGGCGATTCGCGCAGGCAGAGGCCATCGGACCCATCGAACTCCCTTCATCGCTGCTGGAGCAGATCTTGAACAAGTCAAGCTTCCTTCACCAACGTCTTCTTATTCCCACGTTCGAAGACAAATCCAAAAAAGAAAAATGTCACAATCCCACTCTTGAACCAGAAACCCTCACGAAAAGCACCCGTACAAGCCAAATCTTACCTAGATCGTCGCTTTTCCGATCGAGAGGAGCCGATTCGCCGCTGTTAGAGGCCAACACCCACGCCGCTGGTCGATCTTCCTCCACCGCCATTGACATCGAAGCTATCGGCGATCCCTTTTCTTCTCCCTCACCGTCGATCTTTCATTCACCGCTGTCGAGATGAGCCGATTTGAGTTGTCGATTTGGGTGAGAAGATAGAGGAAAAAGAGAGACAAGGGCGGCTAGGGTTTTCTTCATCTCTCCACCCTTGTTATATATATATATACGAATAGGGGTGTACATGGGTCGGGTGGTTCAGGTTTAGCCATTTTAATCACCCGATCCATACACTACGGTTTGGGAAATATTAAACCCAAACCCACTCAAAAAAATTAAAACCCTACGGTTTTTTTCTAATTGGGTTGGGTCGAGTTGGCAATATTTTTAAGTAAAAACCCAACCCAACACAAAATATGTAATTATTCTACATCATAAAAATATTTTATAACTAATTAAAATATCAAACGAATAAACCGAGGTGAAAGGTATTAAAATTCATAAATGTTGTTTAAATTTTAATAAAATGTAATTTACTTCAACATATGTCTAGTTTTTTTCACGATATTTGTTGAAATAGGCTAGAAATTGTATAAACGAACGCATCCATAATATATTATTTTATTAAAATTGTACATAATAAAAGGATTACGTGAATCATAGCTATATTAAATCTATGTCTAACTTTAAACCGAAGAATGCATTAGATTAAAGAGACCATGAGAGAAAAACATGGCGAAATATCTTAATTTTCTCATAAGTATGGTTATATATGACATAAATATTTTTTGGATACGAACTCATATAAGTAGTTGGAACACGGGTTGGGTCGGGTTCTACGGGTTGTGTAATCCAAAATCCAAACCCAACCCAAAAGAGGCGGGTTGTACAAAAGCAAACCATCACCCAACCCAAAATCTTTATTTTAGCGATAAGTACGGGTGGGTTGGATCGGATTGGACGGGTGGCAGGTGAAAGTGTTCACCCCTATATACGAACCCTCTAATTATTGATGACTAATATACCCGTCCAAAAGAGTCGAAGTACCCAATGCAATTATGTCTTTCCCTTTACGAAAAATTAATGTCAGTTTGAAGTTTCGAGAACAGCTGACCTCCAACTCACTAAAAATTCCACCATCAAGATTTAAACCAATCGTGCTACGGCTGGTTATTTGTTATATTATACTATTCTACTTTTCTTATAGCTTAGAGATTTGTAACAATTAAGTTGGAATAATTAAGTTCCAAAGAAATGAAAGAAGCTTATGTTTGAATAATTAAGTTCCATTAGTAAAATAAGCTATGGGTAGGTTACATATATATTATATACGTGTATTTTACTTTGTTTCAAGATTAATGTTACGTTCAATAGTACGTCAATAAATAAATATATAAATATTAGTTAAGTTAGCAATTTAATTCATTACATACGGATATTAAACGTGTTATACGAGTTTTGTATGTTTTTAGTGCGGGAGCCATAAAATGAACGGGGAAAATGAAACGCCTTGACAATAATACGGATACGGAAGTTTCAAACGAATAAAATATGTATGGATACATATACGTGTATTAAATCAAGTATTTACTAACTATGGTTCAAATAATATAAAATTTCTTGAAACATTATATGACGACTGAAAAACATTACAAAAAGTCTCCAAACATTCTGCAACGACAGAAATCATTACAAAAGTCCCTAGACATTTTGCGAGGAAAGGCCATCGTCACAGAATGTTCGGGACTTTCTGCGACGACACACAATCATCGCAGAAAGTCTCCATCAATTCAGCGACGACACACAATCGTCGTAGAAAGTCTCCATCATTTTTGCGACGACAGAAAATCGTCGCAGAAAGTCTCCATACATTCTGCGACGGAAAATAACAGTTGCAAAAACACTTCACACATTCTGCGACGAAAAAGTGAAATTCGTAGCAAATTGTACACTTTCTACGATGATTTTCTTATCGTCGCGATTTTCCTTAAATCATGGCTCCGCCCCGAACGACAATGCTACTAATTTTACGACTTGAAGCAATAACTTTTGACTATAACAATCCTGTCAACTAAATTATTAATGAAAGGAATGTTAACATTTGAATTTCATAGTATGGTAAATTGGTAGTGCTGGCAGGGACTTGGGAGCATCGAGAAGATCAAGATGGGATTCGACACAAGGACTAAGCAACATATTAATCCGCAGCAGCAGCCAACATATTCAAAGTTTGTTAGGTTGGAGGGTGCCTGCCAATTTCCCGCCAACAACTAATTAACATCGCTATCTCATTTTGATCCGTTTATGTAACTACCATGGCTTCTAATTGTAGTTGTGTTTTTCTTCCTTGTGTTGCGATTTACAAGTACGTGTACGTATTCAATGTATGCAAGTCAACTCTCCATACCACAAACATTATTTTAATTACCAAATTTGAGACAAGCAATTACCTCAACGGCTCTGCATGTGCTGCGTAAGCATGCACCCAATTAATTAATTAAACCTGGATTTCATTTTGATATATATGTCGACCGTGACGAAGGACGATGCACCGTGTTAAAAAAAAAAAAAAAAAACGGAGCAGTTGCATGAACTTCCCATAACAAGATGTAGAAGTGATATGGCAGCCACAAGAATGGCAAAAGAAGATCTTCCGGTTGGATTAATTTATAAGGTTGATGATCTAACAAGTAGGAAAATCTGAATCTGTTGTTTCGGTCAAGCGGATGCATAGGTGTGCGTACAAATATTGGTCTCTGATCTCTGATTTCGATGGAACCTTATCCGGCGATCTATTTAATTTTAAATTATGGACTTTGATTAAACTAAAGTTGTGTCATGGAGAGGGGGACAAACAAGAATACGATTAACAGTCTTAAAAATTGAATTTTATATCATATTTCAAGTTTTCCCTGATAAATTTATCTGCATAATGATGGTTTAGTTGTTAAATAACATGAAAATGAAACTAACTACACATAAACACCAGACATTCGATTTACGTGGCTTCCTCCCAACATTGGGACTAGTTCATGGGTAAATTGCTTTCTCCAACTGATGTATATTATTGGTATCATCACTTTGCTATGGCCACGGCAACTGCTGCCTTATATACAATGTCCACAACTTTGTACGAGCATCACAAGTTAGGGTAATACAATGCTAGAGACTCGATGGAAGAGAAGATCTTTCTTGATTCAGAATGAATTAGTGCAGGAAAAGTTACAGAATGAGCTTTACATTGGGGGTTTTATACTGTAAGCGGGAAAGGTTGTTAATCCTGTTCTAACTAATCCTACTTAACTAATTACAATTGAGTACCTATACTATCCTATTACATAATCTAAGTCCTAGAGTTCTAGTCCTTTTTACAAATCAGTCCACTGTCCTATTACCCCCCCCCCCCCCCCCCCCCAAGCTAAACATGAATTGATTTCATGTTAAGCTTGGAGATCAGCTCAACAAAAGTATGAAAAGCTAGAGCCTTTGTAAATGGATCGACCAATTGCAATGTAGTGGAGATGTGTTGCACCTTTAACTTGTTTGCTAAGACCTGATCTCGAGTGAAGTGGCAGTCGACTTCAATGTGTTTGGTCCTCTCGTGTTGAACTGGATTTTCAGTCATCTTGACGGCGGAGAGGCTGTCACAGTAGATGAGATACGGTTGCTTGGGTTGGACTGGCAGTTGCTGAAACAAGGCGGACATCCATTGAAGCTCTTGTGATGTGTCGGCAAGCGCCCTATACTCTGCTTCGGCGGACGAACGAGAGACTGTTTGTTGCTTCTTGGAACGCCAGCTGATCAGAGAGTTCCCTAGAAAAATACAGAATCCCATTACTGAACGTCGCGTGTCAGGGCATCCTGCCCAATCAGAATCAGAAAAAGCAGTAAGGCGAGTGGAGGAGTTGCTGGGAAAAAAGAGGCCTTTGGCGGGTGTAGTTTTAAGGTAGCGAAGGAGACGATGAGTGGCTTGCTCATGAGCTGTTGTTGGAGCATCAACAAATTGACTAAGTTGATTGACGGTGTAGCAGATATCTGGACGAGTGTTGCATAGGTACTGTAATCGCCCAATGAGTGTTTGATAGATGGGTAGCAGGGATAGATGGAGTGGTAGCAGGTTTTGCTGCTAAAAAACCAGTGTCAGAGAGTAAGTCTAAAGTGTATTTTCTTTGGCATAGGTGGAGACCAGTTTCTGAACGGGAGACTTCCATACCAAGGAAGTATTTGAGCTGGCCTAAGTCTTTTATAGTAAAAGCAATATCTAGTTGCTGTTTGACCCTTTTTATTTCTTGTAGATCATTGCCAGTTAGTATAATGTCATCGACATAAACTAAGAGGGCTGTAAAAGAAGAACCAGAAGCTTTAGTAAACAGGGAGTAGTCGCTATAGGATTTTGTGTAACCAAGTTGTTCGAGTGTGGATGTCAATTTGGCAAACCATTGGCGGCTTGCTTGTTTGAGACCATACAGGGATTTGGTTAGCTTGTAGACCTTGTTTTTGTCAGAAGGGTGAACAGTTAAGCCTGGGGGAAGCTTCATGTATACCTCCTCATTGAGGTCCCCATGTAAAAAGGCTGTATTAACGTCCAGCTGTTCCAAAAACCAGTTGTTAATGGATGCTAGAGATAATAAAATTCGTACAGTAGTCATCTTAACTACGGGTGAAAATGTGTCTAAGTAGTCAACTCCAGGCGTTTGAGTATAACCTTTGGCCACTAATCTGGCTTTGTGTTAGTCAATTTCACCATTAGGTTTAAACTTCAAACGGAAAACCCATTTGCAGCCAATGATGGGCTTATCTTTGGGAGGGTTTACTAGAACCCATGTCTTTGTCTTTTCAAGAGAAGAGAATTATGAGTTAACAACTTGTAGCCATTTGTCAGAGGTAGTAGCTTCTTTATAAGTCCTAGGTTCTCTGTAAGAAGTGATGGAAAGAGCAAACTTCTTGTGTTGAGAACTCAAGGAACTGTAAGAAAGTAATGCCTGAATAGGGTAATTAACAGTAGATGTGGTTGGGTTCTGTTGACTGAGGAGATTACATTTGTAGTCTCTTAGTCTTACTGGTGGTACTGGTTGTCTTAAAGACATGCGAAGAGATTGAGTAGGAGGTAGATTGTCTGAAGTAGTTGATCTGAGGAGGATGGATTGGCAATAGTTGGTACTACTGAAGAAGGAGGAATAGAGGGAAA